CTCTTCACTATTTTGTCGAGATTGGACATTGCTCTCCTCCCAAGAAGGAAGCGTCTTCTGATTTCCTGGCCACAGTCTGCATCTGCAGCAATCTTTGCACCTGGAAATACAAAGTCTGTCACGGCCCCCACATTTTTTCCCTCTATTTCCCAGTTGTCAATCATTCTTGTTGCCATAATCTTGGTGTTTTTTTATGTTTAGCTGCAACCCAGCTTTTGCATGTTCTTCTTTTACTTTGATTAGAAGGCTCCTCAGCTCCTCCTCGCTTTCGGCCATCAAAGTGGTATCATCTGCATATCTAAAGTTTTCGATGTTTCCTGCAGCAATTTTTACCCCAGCCTTGCATTTGTCAAGCCTCTCACATTGCATGATGTGTCCTGCATACAAGTTGAACAGGTTGGGTAAGAGGAGACAACCCTGTCGTACGCCTTTCCCAATCTTGAACCAGTCTGTTGTTCCGTGGTCAGTTCTTCCTGTTGCTACTTGGTCCTTATACATATTTCTCAGGAGAGAGACAAGGTGATTTGGTATGCCCATGCCACCAAGAACTTGCCACAATTTATTATAATCCACACAGTCAAAGGCTTTAGAATAGTCAATAAAACAGATATAGATGTTTTTCTGAAACTCCCTGCCTTTCTCCATTATCCATCATCCGGATATTGGCATGATGACATGATGGCAACAGTCTTGGACAGCGATGGCTCCCAAAGTGACCCATTTAAGATGGAATCAGGTGTCCAACAGGGATGTGTTATTGCCCCAACCTTATTTTCCATCTTCATCACTATGATACTTCATCTTGTTGACGGGAGGCTTCCCACCGGAGTGGAAATTATCTATCAGACAGATGGCAAGCTATTTAACCTCAGAAGACTGAAAGCCAAAACCAAGGTTACAACATCTGTTATAGAACTCCAGTATGCTGATGACAACATCATATGTGCACATTCAGAAGAAGACCTACAAACTATTCTAAACACCTTTGCAGAAGCATCCAAGCAGCTTGGCTTGTCATTAAACATTGAGTCAAGTGTGAATGAATGAATAAAGTTTATTGCACTAGCCATAGGCCATGACATCAAAAACATACAACCTTTATAAACACATTAAATACAATCCAATGTTAACCAAAACCCGTTCAAGATTTAAAAGACTAGTACTTTAAAATTTTGCTGGCAGAAACCTAGCAAAAACCGCGTCTGGTCTGTGTCCTCCCTAGCCATCTCCCTTTCCCTATCTGGTCTCCAGCGAGGATTTTACTACTCTGTCTCTGATCTTTTGGGCTGCGATTGCAAATGTGGCTACTTTTAGTGTTATATTTTTGTCATAATCTGCTAGTAGGTCACCAATCACGGCAGGTTCTTGCCATGCTGCCCTTTCTTCAAGGAGTGTTCCCAGGAGATTTTTTCTGGGGTCATTATACAAAGGGCAGTGTAATAGATAGTGTGTTAGATCTTCTTTTTCCCCGGCGCCACAAATGCAAAGCCTTTGGGCATGGGGGATCCCTCTGTATCTCCCTTCTAGCCAGTTTGAGGGCATTGTTTGGAAGCGCAAGGCTGTAAAGGCTTTCCTCAACACTGCTGAGGTTAGGTCTTGAAGATATTGTTGGCAGTATTGGTCACTCTTTAGTCTGGGATACCATATAGAAAAACCTTGCTTTTTACTAATCTCCAAATTGTCAGCTGCATCCTTCTCAAAGATTTTATCACTAATCGCCTTCTTGTCCAGCTGCATTAGAGATGTTATTGACCCATCAAAATATTGATGGAGCAAGGCTAGCCAGGATTGCACCCATCCTCCCCGATTGAACTGTCACCAGCCAATCCCTCTCCAATGCCAGAAATACAGCTTAATGATGTAACATTAGAAAATGTTGGCCATTTCCGCTACTTTGGCAGCCACCTCTCCACCAAAGTCAACATTGACACCGAAATACAACACCTTTGCTCTGCAAGTGCAGCATTCCTCCAAATGAAGCAGAGAGTGTTTGAGGACCGGGACATCTGTAGGGAGACCAAGGTGCTTGTTTATAAAGCTATTGTCCTCCCAACCCTGCTTTATGCCTGTGAGACGTGGACTGTCTACAGATGTCACATGCAACTCCTGGAACGATTCTATCAGCGCTGCCTCCGGAAAATCCTGCAAATCTCTTGGGAAGACAAGCGGACAAACGTCAGCGTGCCGGAAGAAGCAAAGACCACCAGCATTGAAGTGATGGTCCTCCCCCAACAACTCCGCTGGACCGGCCGTGTTGTCCGGATGCCCGACCACCGTCTCCCAAAGTAGTTGCTCTGCTCCGAACTCAAGAACGGAAAATGGAATATTGGAGGACAGAAAAAGAGATTGAAAGATGGGCTCAAAGCCAACCTTAAAAATTCTGGCATAGACACTGAGAACTGGAAAGCCCTGGCCCTTGAGCGCTCCAGCTGGAGGTCAGCTGTGACCAGCAGTGCTTTAGAATTTGAAGAGGCATGAATGGAGAGCGAAAGAGAGAAATGTGCCAAGAGGGAGGCACGCCAACCCCGACCGGGACTGCCTTCCATCTGGAAACCGATGCCCGCACTGCGGGAGAAGATGCGGATCAAGAATAGGGCTCCACAGTCACCTACGGACCAACCGCCAGGATACTACACTTGGAGGACCATCATCTTCGGACTACAAGGGATCGCCTAAGTATGTAAAGTACTGGCAATTTGTTCTTTCGTTCCTCTGCCTTTTCTCAACCCAGTTTGTACATCTGGCAACTCTCTCCCCATGTATTGCTGAAGTCTTCCTTGCAGGATCCTGAGCATTACCTTACTTGCATGAGAAATAAGTGCCACTTATGTATTTCTTATTTCTTATGTGGTCTACCCAATGTCATTTTCTGAATCAGTGCCTCAAGTAAGCCCAGGAGCAGACCTAAAATCATGGAATCATAGAGTTGGAAGAGATCTCATGGGCCATCCAGTCCAACCCCCTGCCAAGAAGCAGGAATATTGCATTCAACTCACCCCTGACAGATGGCCATCCAGCCTCTGTTTAAAAGCTTCCAAAGAAGGAGCCTCCACCACACTCCAGGGCAGAGAGTTCCACTGCTGAACGGCTCTCACAGTCAGGAAGTTCTTCCTCATGTTCAGCAAGACTCCATCCTTCAACTGTGTCATCCTTCAACTGGTCATCTCACAAAAAGAAAGTCATCTTCAACCTCAGCAAGATGGAGTGGGTGAGGGATTAGAGGACATCCAACCCCAAATTGGGAAACAAGTCGTCCAGGAATACCTGGCTGCTCTAAATGAGTTCAAGTCCCCAGGGCCAGATCAACTACACCCAAGAGTATTGAAGGAACTAGCGGAAGTCATTTCGGAACCATTGGCAACCATCTTTGAGAGTTCTTGGAGAACGGGAGAAGTTCCAGCAGATTGGAGGAGGGGCAATGTGGTCCCAATCTTCAAGAAGGGAAAAAAGGATGACCCAAACAACTACCGTCCGGTCAGCCTCACGTCGATACCAGGCAAGATTCTGGAAAAGATTGTTAAGGAAGTGGTCTGCAAACACTTAGAAACAAATGCGGTCATCGCTAATAGTCAACATGGATTTATCAAAAACAAGTCATGCCAGACTAATCTGATCTCTTTTTTCGAAGAGTTACAAGCTGGGTAGATGCGGGGAATGCCGTGGATGTAGCGTACCTGGATTTCAGTAAGGCCTTCGACAAGGTCCCCCATGACCTTCTGGCAAGGAAACTAGTCCAATGTGGGCTAGGCAAAACTACGGTGAGGTGGATCAGTAATTGGTTAAATGGACGAACCCAGAGGGTGATTCTCCCCAAGGCTTCCTCTTCATCCTGGAAAGAAGTGACTTAGATGAAGGGTTAGAAGGCAAGATCATCAAGTTTGCAGATGACAACAAATTGGGAGGGAGAGCCAATACTCCAGAGGACAGGAGCAGGATTCAAAACGATCTTGACAGATTAGAGAGATGAGGCCAAAACTAACAAAATGAAGTTCAACAGTGACAAATGCAAGATACTCCACTTTGGCAGGAAAAACGAAATGCAAAGATATAGAATGGGGGACAATGCCTGGCTCGAGAGCAGTACGTGTGAAAAAGATCTTGGAGTCCTCATGGACAACAAGTTAAATATGAGCCAACAATGTGATGTGGCGGCAAAAAAAGCCAATGGGATTATTATTAATAGGAGCATAGTGTCTAGATCTAGGGAAGTCATGCTCCCCATGCTCTATTCTGCTCTGGTTAGACCACACCTGGAATATTGTGTCCAATTCTGGGCACCACAATTGAAGAGAGACATTGACAAGCTGGAATGTGTCCAGAGGAGGGTGACTAAAATGGTCAAGGGTCCGGAGAACAAGCCGTATGAGGAGCGGCTTAAAGAGCTGGGCATGTTTAGCAGAAGAGAAGGCTGAGAGGAGATATGATAGCCATGTATAAATATGTGAGAGGAAGCCACAGGGAGGAGGGAGCAAGCTTGTTTTCTGCTTCCTTGGAGACTAGGACACGGAACAATGGCTTCAAACTACAAGAGAGGAGATTCCATCTGAACATGAGGAAGAACTGGCTGACTGTGAGAGCCGTTCAGCAGTGAAACTCTCTGCCCCAGAGTGTGGTGGAGGCTCCTTCTTTGGAAGCTTTTAAACAGGGGCTGGATGGCCATCTGTCAGGGGTGATTGAATGCAATATTCCTGCTTCTTGGCAGAATGGGGTTGGACTGGATGGCCCATGAGGTCTCTTCCAACTCTTTGATTCTATGATTCTATGATTCTATGATCTACATGTCTTAAGATGATGTCCATTATCTAATCATGGTTGCCTTGGACACCTGGAATCATCTTTCAGTACATGCTACATAACCATCTCCCCATGCCCATGCTTGCAATGGCCATGATTCCATTCTATATGACATCACCACTCTAGAGCCTTCGAGCATTGAGCTCCATGGCCAATCCCACCTATATACCAGGAAGCTTCAGAAGGAGAAGGACAACGTCGAAAGAATGTCAGACCCCAAAGCTTTCGATCTCCCCGCGATCATTTTTGACAATGGGTCTGGACTATGCAAGGCTGGGTTTGCTGGCGACAATGCCCCGCGGTCCGTCATCACCTCCATCGTGGGCCGCTCCAAAGCCAAAGCCACCATGTTGGGAGCTGGCCAGAAGGAGTTTTACGTTGGAGAAGCCGCTCAGTCCAAAAGGGGAGTCTTGTCGTTGAACTATCCCATCAACCACGGCATTGTGACCTCCTGGGATGACATGGAACGGATCTGGAGGCACGTCTACGAATGCGAGCTGAGGGTCTCCTCCGGCGACCGGCCGGTGCTGCTAACGGAGGCCCCTCTGAATCCTCTGCAGAACCGGGAGAAGATGACGGAGATCATGTTTGAGCATTTCAGCGTGCCGGCTTTGTATGTGGCCATCCAGGCCACTCTGGCGCTCTATGCCTCAGCCCGCACCACCGGCATCGTCTTGGACAGCGGTGATGGCGTCACGCACACCGTCCCTATCTACGATGGCTACTGCTTGCCTCACGCAGTGGCCCGGTTGGACATTGCCGGACGGGATATCACCGAATACTTCATGAAGCTCCTTCTGGAGAGCGGCTATTCTTTTGTCAGCACGGCGGAGAGAGAAATCGTGAGGGACATCAAGGAGAAGCTCTGCTATGTGGCTCTGGATCCGTCCCAAGAGATCAAAGCAAAGCAGGAATACCTTCTGCGGGACTATAAACTCCCCGACGGAAACATCATCAGGATCGGCAATCAGTTGTTCCGAGCCCCAGAAGCCCTTTTCGCTCCCCCTGACATCGGCATCGATGCCCCCGGCATACACCGCATGATCTTCAACAGCATTATGAAATGCGACATTGATGTGAGGAGAGACCTTTACGGCAATATTCTCCTTTCGGGCGGATCCACCTTGTTTTGTGGGTTGGACGAGCGCATCTTGCAGGAAATGCAGCTTCAAGTCCCCATCGGGATCGCAGTGAGGATTATTGCCCCGCCGGAGAGGAAGTACTGCACTTGGATCGGAGCCTCGATTCTGGCTAGCTTGAAAGCTTTCCGGTTCATGTGGGTCACGCTCAGTGATTATAAAGATTTTGGCCCCGGGATAGTCCATCGGAAATGTTTCTAAGAGTCATCATTTGAACCTATGACCTTTATTTTGGGGAACACTACAGAATGTATATGTGTATGTATTCATGTATGTATATATGAACAATTTCATAGTTTTTGAAGTTACGGCTTATCAGAATTTACAAGAAAATAAATAATTTGAGCAACACTGATTGCGGTTTGAATTATGGTGGCTTTTTTCTGTCAGAGATTGACGATACCCAGCAGAAGGAATGCTAGATCAAGCAGACACTGAGATCCAAAATAAGGACTCTGCAGGCTTTGAGTTACAAAAGAAACTAAGTTTACTAACTAGGCTTGGGTAACCATGGAAAAATTTGGTTCTAAACTCGTTTTGTTTTTAGGGGGCCCTTGCGTTTCGTTTTTTTTAAATAATTCCGAAATTTTCCTTACTTACTTAGGCGATCCCTCGAAATCTGAGGATGATGTTCCTCCAAGTGTAGTATCCTGGCGGTGGGTCCGTAGGTGACTGTGGAGCCCGATTCTTGATCTGCATCTTCTCCTGCAGTGAAGGCATCAGTTTCCAGGTGGAAGGCAGTCCCAGTCGTGGTTGGGTTGGCACGTCTTCCTCTTGGCACGTTTCTTTCTTTTGCCCTCTTCAAATTCTACAGCACTGCTGGTCACAGCTGGCCTCAAGTGCCAGGGCTTCCCAGTTCTCAGTATCTATGCCAGAGTTTTTAAGGTTGACTTTGAGCCCGTCTTTCAATCTCTTTTCCTGCCCAGTAACATTCCGTTTTCCGTTCTTGACTTTAGAGTAGAGCAACTGCTTTAGGAGACGGTGGTCGGGCATCTGGACAACATGGCCTTTAGTCCAGCAGAGTTGATGACGGAGGACCATCGCTTCAATGCTGGTGGTCTTTGCTTCTTCCAGCACGCTGACATTTGTCTGTTTGTCTTCCCAAGAGATTTGCAAGATTTTTCAGAGGCAGCGCTGATGGAATCGTTCCAGGAGTTGCATGTGACGTCTGTAGGCAATCCACGTTTCACAGGTGTATAGCAGGGTTGGGAGGACAATAGCTTTATAAACAAGCACCTTGGTATTGCTATGGATGTCCCAGGCCTCAAACACTCTCTGCTTCATTCAGAAAATGCTGCACTCGCAGAGCTCAGGCGGTGTTGTATTTCAGTGTCAATGTTGACTTTTGTGGAGAGGTGGCTGCCAAGGGAGCGGAAAGGCTTGGGTAACCACGGAAAAATTTGGTTCTAAACTTGTTTTGTTTTTAGGGGGCCCTTGCGTTTCGTTTTTTTAATAATTCCGAAATTTTCCTTTTAAAATTTTAGAAATATACGAAATTTCGTAAAATTACAAATCGATTCGTTAATGGCGGACATGATTGCGCAATATGCTAAAAAAACCTCCAAATGGGACAGGGGGAACTTCTGAAGCTTCCCTCTCCCTCTGTTGTTGACTGTTGGTGTGATAAAACACACAACAACTATAAAACTTGCACCAGACATGCGAAAATAATTACGAAATAATTACGAAATAATTACAAAATAATTACAAAATAATTACAAAATAATTAAATAATTACAAAATAATTACAAAATAAATTGAAAAAATTGTTTCGAATCTAATTTACTCCTCACACTATTCCTGCATGGCTCAATATTGGATCGTAAGCTAATTTAAATACGAATTAATAACGAATTACGAAATTAACGAACGAAACCGCCCAAGCCTACTAAGTACATACATCAGACACGTCTTTCTACAGCGAGCTACAATTCAGGAACTAGTCAAAACCGAAAGCCTCTTCACATCTGCTTATCTTCTCTTGCTGAGACTGGCAACTCCCTTCTGTTCCCAGCAAGAACAAACCTTATCTTACTTTTCTCAAGTTCACTTAATCACAGCCTCAAAGTATAAACATTTCTGCACAGCATTTCTAATGCACAGTAGCATCCATATTTGCAATACATAGAAGCATCCTTGAATCGGTGTTTAGCTGCTGTGTCAGACTGGATGAGAGCTAACAAATTGAAACTGAATCCAGACAAGACAGAGGTCCTACTGGTCAGTCGTAAGGCCGAACAGGGCATAGGGTTACAGCCTGTGTTAGATGGGGTTACACTCCCCCTGAAGACGCAGGCTCGCAGCTTGGGAGTGATCCTGGACTCGTCGCTGAGCCTGGAAGCCCAGGTCTCGGTGGTGGCCGGGAGAGCTTTCGCACAACTAAAACTTGTGCACCAGTTGTGCCTGTACCTTGGGAAGTCTGATCTGGCCACAGTGGTCCACGCTCTTGTTACATCCTGAATAGACTACTGCAATGCACTCTACGTGGGGTTGCCCTTGAAGACTGTTCGGAAACTTCAACTGGTCCAGCGAGCGGCAGCCAGATTACTCACCGGAGCGACATACAGGGAGCATACCACCCCCCTGTTGTGTCAGCTCCACTGGCTGCCGTTCAGTTCCGAGCACAATTCAAAGTGCTGGTTTTGACCTACAAAACCCTTTACGGTTCTGGCCCAGCGTACCTGTCCGAACGTATCTCCTTCTACGTCCCACCTCGGAATTTAAGATCGTCTGGGAAGGCCCTGCTCTCGACCCCACCGCTATCACAAGTGAGGTTGGTGGGGACGAAGAGCAGGGCCTTCTCAGTGGTGGCCCCTCACCTGTGGAACTCACTCCCGGGGGAAATTAGGGCATCAACATCCCTCCTCTCCTTCAGGAGGAAAGTAAAGACGCGGTTGTGGGTCCAGGCCTTTGGGCAATCTGACAACTAGATAAGGACAACCAAACGACTAGGACTGACAGGACTGACAATGTGGAATTGACACATACATAACTAAATTACTCCTGACATTTTCTTATTCTCTTTTCGCACCATCTGAGAGAAGATAATCTTTGGATATAAAAGAAGATTTTACAATGAGATTTGGGGCTGCGGTAGCACAGTGGGCTAATAATAATAATAATAATAATAATAATAATAATAATCTGCATGGATCGTTCACTTCTAATTTCCCCCAATTAGGTTTCTTTAAATCTCAAAATCTTTCCATAAATTTGCCTTAACAATGAAATTATGACTTGGCCCGCTATTGAGTCTTTCTCCTTAGAATCATAGAATAATAGAGTTGGAAGAGACCCCATGGGTCATCTAGTCCAACCCCCTGCCATACAGGAAAAGCACAATCAAAGCAGCCCTGACAGATTACCCTCAAGCTATAATAAGAAAAAATAGAATCATAGAATGATAGAGTTGGAAGAGACCACATGGGCCATCTAGTCCAACCCCCTGGCATGCAGGAAAAGCATAATCAAAGCAGCCCTGACAGATGACCATCCAGCCATAATAAGAAAAAATAGAATCATATTTATTTATTATTATTTATTTACAGCTTTTATATTCCGCCTTTCTCACCCCGCAGGGGACTCAGGGCGGATCACAGTGTACACATATATGGCAAACATTCAATGCCAATTTTGACATACAAACATATACAGACATACACAGAGGCTATTTAACTTTTTTCTGGCCGCCAGGGGAGCTGTCGCTTTCATCGTCCATCTGCGACACTGATGAAACACTTCCGCATTCCCCGCATGCTTCCCCGCTGGAATGCTTTGCTGGAGTCTTCTTTATGGCCTCATAAATCAGTTAATTTAGCCTCCCCACACTTTAAGGTGGTACCTTATTTTCCTACTTGACAGATGCAACTGTCTTTCGGGTTGCAAAGGTCGACAACAGGCTACACACAATTGGTTGGAAACCCACTCCAACCCGGCTGGCTTCGAACTCATGACCTTTTGGTCAGAGTGATCTTAATGCCGCTGACACTCAGCCAGCTGCGCCACAATCCCAGCTAGAATGGTAGAGTTGGAAGAGACCCCATGGGCCATCTAGTCCAACCCCCTGCCATACAGGAAAAGCACAATCAAAGCAGCCCTGGCAGATGACCATCCAGCTATAATAAGAATAATAGAATAATAGAATAATAGAGTTGGAAGAAACCACATGGGCCATCTAGTCCTACCCCCTGCCATGCAGGAAAAGAACAATCAAAGCAGACCTGGCAGATGGCCATCCAGCCATAATAAGAATAATACAATCATATAATAATAGTTGGAAGGGGCCACATGGGCCATGTGGTCCAGCCCCCTGACATGCAGGAAAGGCACAATCAAAGCAGCCCTGTCAGATGGCCATCCAGCCATAATAGGAATAATAGAATCATAATATGATAGAGTTGGAAGAGACCCCATAGGCCATCTAGTCCAACCCCCTGCCATACAGGAAAAGCACAATCAAAGCAGCCCTGACAGAAGACCTCCAGCCATAATAAGAATAATAGAATAATAGAGTTGGAAGGGACCACATGGGCCATCTAGTCCTACCCCCTGCCATGCAAGAAAAGAACAATCAAAGCAGACCTGGCAGATGACCATCCAGCCATAATAAGAATAATAGAATAATAGAGTTGGAAGAAACCACATGGGCCATCTAGTCCTACCCCCTGCCATGCAGGAAAAGCACAATCAAAGCAGCCCTGGCAGATGGCCATCCAGCCATAATAAGAATAATAGAATCATAATATGATAGAGTTGGAAGACACCACATGGGCCATCTAGTCCTACCCCCTGCCATGCAGGAAAAGAACAATCAAAGCAGACCTGACAGATGGCCATCCAGCCATCATAAGAATAATAGAATGAGAGAGTTGGACGAGACCACATGGGCCATCTAGTCCAACCCCCTGCCATGCAGGAAAAGCACAATCAAAGCAGCCCTGGCAGATGGCCATCCAGCCACAATAAGAATAATAGAATCATAATATGATAGAGTTGGAAGACACCACATGGGCCATCTAGTCCAACCCCCTGCCATACAGGAAAAGCACAATCAAAGCAGCCCTGACAGATTACCCTCAAGCTATAATAAGAAAAAATAGAATCATAGAATGATAGAGTTGGAAGAGACCACATGGGCCATCTAGTCCAACCCCCTGGCATGCAGGAAAAGCATAATCAAAGCAGGTCTGACAGATGGCCATCCAACCATAATAAGAATAGTAGAATCATAGAATGATAGAGTTGGAAGACACCACATGGGCCATCTAGTCCAACCCCCTGCCATGCAGGAAAAGCACAATCAAATCAGCCCTGGCAGATCTATTTCAAAGCTTCCAAGAAACCACTTCCACCACATCCTTGAGATATAATGACGGAACACAGCTCTCAATGAAGTATCAGCTTCACACTTGCCTCGCCAAGACAGCTTTGCATCTTGAACCTTCAACAAAACCTCCTGGTTTCCTAGAGATCACACAAAACAATTGTCCATTGAGCAGCCTCACCCATTGTGAAGTACAGGCGTGAGTTTCTGGCTGCCTCAGAGGAGAGGCTGATAACCATTTGTGCTGCAGGACTGGGTTGAGGATGAAAGGCTTTCAGTCTGCTATTGACCTTGTACGACATTGGAAGACATGCTCTTGAATTTTCAAGACTATACTTTTGGTTGAGTGCTGTCTTTGGTGGTGGTTTGAAATGGTCCATCAACGGGAAGGATTCAAGAGCAGGGTCTTCAGCGTGCCAGCGGTCATCATTGACAACGGCTCTGGCCTTTGCAAGGCCGGGGTCTCCGGAGAAGTCGGTCCACGGCACGTCATCGCCTCCATTATTGGCTGGCCCAAAAGCAAATTATCGCTGTCCGGAGCCAGAAAGAGAGAGTGCTACGTTGGAAATGAGGCCCAAGATCGGCGAGAAGCGCTGTCTTTGCGATATCCCATCGAGAATGGCATCATTACGTCATGGGAGGATATGGAGCAGATTTGGAAGCACATTTATGACAAAGGGTTGGGGATAAGAGCTTTTGAGAGGCCTGTGTTGATGACCGAGTCTCCGTTGAATCCAAAGGAGGACAGAGCCAAAATCACCCAGCTGATGTTCGAACACTTCAAAGTCCCAGCCTTTTACCTCTCCATCCAGGCTATATTGTCTCTCTATGCGTCAGCGCGTTACACCGGGATAGTCATGGACAGCGGCTTTGGGGCAACCCATGTGGTGCCCGTATACGAGGGATATTGTTTGCCCCATGCTGTCTCCAGGTTAGACATTGGTGGCAAGGCCATCACTGAGTTCCTCAGAAACCTGCTTCTGGACAAGAGACACTACTTCAGGAATTTCCTAGAAGGCAGCAATATTGTGGAAGACATCAAAGTGAAGTTGTGTTTCGTGGCTCCGGATCCCTCTGGCGATCAACACAGAAGTTCAGAGCCCTCCGTCAAAGAGTACCAGCTTCCTGACGGGAGCAAGATCAAAATCGACGACCCGCTCTTCCTGGCACCGGAGATCCTTTTCACACCTAGCAATATCAACAGAGGTGGCTACGGGATCCACAAAATGATCGCCAAGAGCATTAAAAAATGCGACTCCAGCATCCGTAACATGCTCTACGCGAACGTGTTGCTCTCCGGCGGCTCCTCCCTGTTTCCCGGATTAGACGAGAGGGTCTTCAAAGGGCTCGAAATGCAAGTGCCCCAAGGCGTTCCCATCAAAGTCATCGCGCCACCGGATCGGTGGTTCTCCACGTGGATCGGGGCCTCCATCGTGACGTCGCTGGGCACCTTTAAGCAGATGTGGGTCACCGCAGCCGACTACAGAGAATTTGGGCCCAACATTGTACACAGGCGGTGCTTTTAAAGAGGGTTCGGGGACAAGTTGCCCGCTCGTGAAAAGAATTAACAAGCAGTAACAGCCAGAGGTAGTTCAAAAATGATGCCTTTGCCTCCTTTAAAGGGTTAAATAAAAATGCTTTTACAACTCCTAAAGAGACACATGGGATTTGTCATGCATTTCCTTGGCCAACTACATCTTGCTTGTAGCAACTATTGCACTGCCCAACACACACTTGGGTGCCTCAAATGTTAGACTCATTTTTGGGTATGTTTGACCCGCTGATTCCAAAAATGATGACAGTTTTCCCCTATTAACTCCAGTTTTTGATATACAGAACATGTAGCATCTCCCAGTCTCCATCTGTTGACTTATAAGAAACTATTATAACCATATCTTAAAAAGTACAGCTTAAGAGGACACTTACTTATTTTACTTACTTAAGCGATCCCTCGTTGGCCGGTTAGGATAGTCTTCCAGGATCAGAATTTTTGTGAGTCTGTAGGTGACTGTGGAGCCCTATTCTTGCTCTGCATCTTCTTCCGCAGTGAGAGCATTGGTTTTCAGGTGGAAGGCAGTCCCGGTCGGGGTTGGCTTGACGCGCCTTCCTCTTGGCACGTTTCTCTCTTTCACCCTCCATCCGTGCCTCTTCAAATTCTGCAGCACTGCTGGTCACAGCTGACCTCCAGCTGGAGCACTCAAGGGCCAGGGCTTCCCAGTTATCAGTGTCTATGCCAGAGTTTTGAAGGTTGGCTTTGAGCCCATCTTTCAATCTCTTTTCCTGCCCATCAACATTCCGTTTTCCGTTCTTGAGTTCAGAGTAAAGCAACTGCTTTGAGAGACGGTGGTCGGGCATCCGGACAATGTGGCCAGTCCAGCGGAGTTGATGACGGAGGACCATTGCTTCGTTTGTCCGCCTGTCTTCCCAAGAGATTTACAGGATTTTCCGGAGGCAGCGCTGATGGAATCGTTTTGTCATTTGGGAGTTGCAGTTGCTGGGATTTATAGTTAACCTACAATCAAAGAGCATTCTGAACTCCACCAATGATGGAATTGAACCAAACTTGACACACAGGGCTCCCATGACCAACAGAAAATACTGGAAGAGTTTGGTGGGCATTGACCTTGAGTTTTGCAGTTGTAGTTCACCTACATGCAGAGAGCAGTACTTGTGAAAAAGATCTTGGAGTCTTCGTGGACAGCAAGTTAAACGTGAGCCAACAATGTGATGCGGCAGCAAAAGAAGCCAATGGGATTTTGGCCTGCATCAATAGTGTGTAGATCTAGGGAAGTCATGCTCCCCATGCTCTATTCTGCTTTGGTTAGACCACACCTGGAATATTGTGTCCAATTCTGGGCACCACAATTCAAGAGAGATATTGACAAGCTAGAATGTGTCCAGAGGAGAGCGACTAAAACGATCAAGGGCACGAACAGAGGTAGGATGTATCTAAGCAGGAGGGTTTTAAAAGATAATGTAGGGAGACCAACCCAATGGGTAGTTAAAGTGCTTCTGAAGATATTTTGCAGGGAATTGTTTCCTTTATTCAGGGAAGGCATACTGGAACAGCCATGTTTTCAGGCTCCTCCTAAAGACTGACAATGTGGGGGCTTGCCTGATATCCTTAGGAAGTGAGTTCCAGAGTCGGGTGGCCACTATAGATAAGGCCCTCTCCCTCATCCCCACCAATTACGCCTGTGAAAAGGGCGGGAGCGAGAGCAGGGTCTCTCCAGATGATTGAAGAGATCATGTGGGTTCGTACACAGAAATGTGGTCAGACAGGTAGGTGGGTCCCAAACCGTTCAGGGCTTTGTAGGTAAGAACCTGCACCTTGAATTCTGATTGGAAAATGAATGGCAGCCAATGGAACTCCTTAAACAGGGGGGTTGATCACTCCCTGTAAGTCATTCCAGTTAGTAACCTGGCTGCCGCCCGTTGGACCAATTGAAATTTCCGAGCCGTCTTCAAGGGGAGCCCCATGTAGAGTGCATTACAGTAATCCAATCTGGAGGTGACTAAGGCGTGAACCACCCTGACCAGATCTGACTTCACGAGGTACAGTTGCAGCTGGTGCACGTGTTTTAATTGTGCAAAGGCCTTCCCAGCCACCGCCGACGCCTGAGCTTCGAGCATTAGCGATGAGTCTAGGAAGACACCCAAGCTGCAGACCCTTGACTTCAGGGGGAGTGCAACCCCATCGAGCACAGGTTGCCACCCTATACCCCAATCCGGCTTATGATCGACCAGGAGGACCTCTGTCTTGTCCTCAGCTTATTCATCCTCTTCCATACAGCCACACTCGTCCAATATCTGAGGGGCTTCCTTGGAATTAGGTGGAAAGGTGTGCTGGCACAGGAGTGCCAGGAGATTTGAATTCCTTTTCTTGCACTGCTAGTTTGCATAAGTCTATTTGAGCCATGCATTTTGCAATAAGGTAGCTTCCCTCAGGTTGCAGTCGTAGGTCCAGCTACCTGCCAATCATCATCAGTCTTTAGATCTGCCCCTTTCCCCAGGATTTTGGAGGCAAAGGAGGACCTTTGTTCAGTCTCACTGTTTGAAGCCTAAAAGCAGGACGTGTGGGATTCTCTTTCCCACCTGCCCAAAAGCTTCACTTCTCACAGCTCTGCTGGGGGAGAAAAAGGATAGTTCCACAGCTTTTGCTGGGGGTTAAAGAAATAGATTCACAGCTCTGCTGGGGAGTAAAGAAATAGTTCCTACAGCCTTTGTGGGGAAACTAAAGGTCACCATTTCAGCTTGGCAGATCTACAGGAACCTTGTTTGGTAAGGGACCACTCGGGCTATCCATAAAGTAGCTTGGAGCCAGGAGTAGGGGCCTCACGCCAGCAAGGTAAAGAGAGATTGCCCAAGGAGAGGTCAGAAGATTTCCCTAAGGAAGAAAGGAACAGTTTACCACCAGTTGCCTGCCCCTTGTTGGCAGACTGAGGAAGCTACCCATTTTCCAAGGTTATAAAGTGTTTAATTCATTTGTTTGAAGATTTAAGCCCTGTGACGATGTGTAAGTTTTATTCTTTGGTTATGTGTAGTTTGGACAGTGGTTTAGGGATGGTAAGTATGGGAGATTATATTTTGTTAGAGATGGTGGCTAGTGGCTTGAGCTGAGTTGCCATAGCAACGGGGGCGGAGCCAACTATCACTTCACGGCGCAGCTTTTTGAAAGTGGCAGTCTGTGGCCGGTGAGCTACAGGAAGAGACTGATTTCTCTGGTGGGAGAAACAGGGAATTAGTCAGTGGCCGGAGAGCTACTGAGAGAACACTGAATCTTTTGGTGGAGATTCAGGGAATGTGTCTGTAGCCAGTGTGCTATAGGGAAAGACTGAATCTCTTGGTGGAGATTCAGGGAATCAATTGGTGACCAAGTGGTTGCAGAGAAGGACCCGGTACAGGGGGTTGTTGATTCTGAATTAAGAATCAAGGTTTGGCTGGGTTTAAGCCTGTTGTGCCAGCTGTGAAACCTTATGAAGTGTTTGCCTGAGTTTACTCATGAAACCTTTCCAATGTATCCATCAAGATTTGTGCCTCTTTTGAAGAACAGTTATACATTGTTATACTCCTGTTAAAATAAACTTGTTACTGTTTTCCTCAAGCCTTGCCTGATACAGTTTCTCCTAAGTTGAACAGCCTACAATAATAAAGTCAAGCCAAGAAAGTAAACGCTACGCTATCAAGTGAATAAAGCCTTCTGTAATTAACAGTCCCTTTATAAAATAGCTCCTAGGTTGATATTGATCGTTGCCCGGCTTCCCTCATAGATTAGGTGGCAGTGGGTGCTTTACCACGCGCACCTTCACAATTGGTGGCATTCGGTGGCATTAAAACGGTCATCGTTACAATTGGTGGCAGCAGTTTAACGACTCCTTCACAAGCCCAAATAAAGAACTTTGTTGAATTTATCTTGAGCCTCAATAGAACTTTGTGTTGGGAAATCTAAGGGGCCCTTCAGCCGAGGCACCCCGGGGGCGTACAGAGAGCACATCCTGTAAACAGACATTATTTCAGGCCCAGCGTGCAACAGCACAAAAGGAGTAGTAGAGTTGGATGTCATCCACATAGAGATGGCACCCAACTCCAAAACTCCGGAGGGCCATGCGGGGATGTTGTTGCTTCAGTGTCCTTGGCGAGATGGTGGCGGAGTATAAATAAAGTATTATTATTATTTTATTGACCACAGCCTCCAAGATGTCATAAATAAGATGGGAAAAACTGCCTTAATGTCTGTTTGTGTTGTCTGTCCTTGGTAATTGTACAATCACAATTGAATGCCGTATGTGTGTTCTGTAAAGCCATTCTGAGTCCCCTTCAGGACGAAAAGGGCAGAGTATAAATACTGTAAATAAATAAAATAAAATAAAATAAAACATTTGGTGAATTTGGAACCTAAGCCACTTTGTTATCATTTCTTTATTCATTATCCCTTTTTGACATCATAAAGCTTTTTTGAGGTCACCTTAATCACAATATCCATGGGATACACAATGTAGACAACATTGGTTTGGTGTCCATAGTATCCATCAAGGCTTTCTGAATGTGAGCGAAAACATCGTTGAAGATAAGAGGAGGTTTCAAGCCCACTTCTTACTTGGATGGTTCAGAACATAATGTTCCTCTCCATAGTTGTGCTTGCTTTTCATCATTTTGGAGATGGAGCAATCCTGTGCCTGGGGCGCTGAACTTTCTTCCTTGAGACAGAAATAGAAAACAGACAACTAGCCATAAACCGCGGGCATCCGTTTTTGATGCTCTTGGTTATCCAAAACCATCTCTCGGCTTCTTGGAGAAGAACTCTTTTTTCCCGAAAGCCTGTGCAACATGCTTGTATACAACATAAACCACTAGGGAAAGGAATATCCCCTTTTATGACACCTAGGAATCTAGAATATTGATAGCCAGGTGTTCTGTTCTATCGGAGCACAAAAGCTTTAGAGGTTGGAAACCTTGTTCCTTTCTGTTTTGAGTAAAGATGTCTCGTCCAAGAATGACAGCCCTCCCAGCGGTCATTATTGACAATGGATCTGGGTTGTGCAAGGCAGGGATTTCAGGCGAGCAGGCACCAAGAACAGTTGTCGCTTCTGTAGTCGGCTATCCCAAATCGAAAGCCATTATGTTTGGCCCAGTGCAGAGGCAATATTACGTTGGAAGGGAAGCCCACGCCAAGAGAGGGATCTTATCATTCAAATATCCAATAGAGCATGGAATAGTGACATCCTGGGATGACATGGAAAAGATCTGGAGCTACATATACAGCCGGGGTCTCCGGATGAGAGCGCAGGATAGGCCAGCGTTGTTGACAGAGGCCCCCATGAACCCCGCATCCAACCGGGAAAAAATGACCGAAGTCATGTTCGAGCATTTCCAGGTTCCTGCCCTCTTTGTAGGCCTGCAACCTCTCATGGCTCTCTACGCTTCAGCGCGCACAACGGGCCTAGTCTTAGATAGCGGAGACGGTGTCACCCTGACAGTCCCAATCTACAAAGGACATTGCTTGCTTCATGCCATTTCGAGAATCAACTTTGCCGGCCGGGATATCACCAAGTACTTAGCGACGCTTCTCTTGGAGACTGGGCATAGCTTCCTGAGCTCTTCGGAGCAGGAGATCGTCAAGGACATCAAGGAGAACCTGTGCTATGTCTCTTTAGATCCAAGCAACCAGAAGGAGAAAGGCTTGGTTCATACGTATACTCTCCCTGATGGGAGTCCGGTCAAGATTGGTGAGCAGCTCTTCAAAGCTCCAGAGTCCCTTTTTCGCCCAACGGATGCCGGCATCGCCGCCCCTGGGATCCAGCAAATGATCTTGGATAGCATCTCCAGATGCGATGGGAGCATCCACCAGGACATCTGGAAGAACGTGGTCATCGCAGGTGGTTCCACCCTTTTTGCTGGCCTAAGCGAAAGACTTCTGAAAGAGCTCCACGCTCTTGCTCCTAAAAGGATGTTGCCCAACGTCGAAGCGCCCGAAGATCGGATGCATTCCGTCTGGATCGGCGCTTCGGTGCTCACCAGTTTGCCGTCCTTCCAGGAGAGGTGGGTCACCCAGAAGGAGTACAAAGAAGTGGGCTCCACTGTACTGCAGAAGAAATGCATCTGAGAAGAATAAATGACCAACCAGAGAGGCAAAAAAAAAAATTAGTCAATTGGAACAGCGAGGGAGTGGCTAGTAAACCTTTTCACAAAGAATCAATGTGTGTTCAGTTTTATAACATGGTCGGAAACGGTCCCTTGTGTGCTTGGCGAAAGAAAGAACCCTTGTTTAGTATATTTTGACGACCCCGTAAGTTGCCTTCTCATATATATATATATATATATATATATATATATATATATATATATGGGGGTGGGGGTGGGGGTGTTGAAAAATACTGGAATAGCAACATTGTTTGTTTGCTGAACTGTTAAAACTCCAGAGAGCAAACCCACCTTGGCTTCGGTGCCCTTGGGCTTTGGCTCGTTGCCATTCCCCATAAATATCAAGAGGATATAAAATCAACCAATAATGCGGAATGGTGTTCTGCTGAAGTCCCCCACCTCAACACACTCACAAACACATACAAACAAGTGAAGGGATACCCTTGAAGAATATAGCAGCATATGCCACAAATCATTTTTTTTAAGGCTGTCAATCTGGATGAATTGGGGAGAAGCAGAAAGGAGCTTGTTCTTTGTGGGTCTTCAGATTGGGGAGCCCAGCCAGACCAGATGAGAACCAGTTATTTATATTTATTTATTTAAAACTTTTATATCCCGATCTTCTGAACCTCCGTAGAGGGATTCAGCAAGGATTAAATGCTAATAGTACAATCTAAAAACATCATATAATAACGAGTTAAAATACATATCGATTAAAATTACAAATAAGCCAAATTGCCAAGATAAAATCATGTTGAGTGCTGGATGAGTGCCTGGCCGCTGTGGCTATCTGGATGAGGAGGAACAAGCTGAAGATTAATCCCGACAAGACAGAGGTCCTCCTGGTCGATCGTAAACCGGATCGGGGTATAGGGTGGCAACCTGTGTTGGATGGGGTTACACTCCCCCTGAAGCCACAGGTCGCAGTTTGGGAGTCCTCTTGGATGCATCGCTTACGCTTGAGGCTCAGGCGTCGGCGGTGTCCGGGAGGGCTTTTGCACAATTGAGACTTGTGCGCCAACTGCGACCATACCTCGCAAAGGCTGATCTGGCCGGGGTGTTCCATGCCTTGGTCACCTCTAAATTGGACTACTGTAATGTGCTCTACGTGGGGCTGCCCTTGAAAACGGCTCGGAAATTTCAACTGGTCCAGCAGGCGGCGGCCAGGATGTTAACTGGCGCTCCTTACAGAGAGAGGTCAACCCTCCTGTTTAAGGAGCTCCATTGGCTGCTGTTCATTTTCCAGTCTCAATTCAAGGTGTAGGTGCTCACCTACAAAGCCCTAAACGGTTTGGGACCTGCCTACTTGCGTGACCGCATCTCTGTTTATGAACCCGCACGCTCCCTTTGTTCATCCGGAGAGACCCTGCTCACGATCCCACCTGCGTCGCAAGCGCGGTTGGTGGGCATGAGGGACAGGGCCTTCTCTGTGGTAGCCCCCCGACTCTGGAACACCCTCCCCAAGGACATCAGACAAGCCCCTACGTTGGCAGTCTTTAGGAAGAGCTTGAAGACCTGGCTATTCCGGTGTGCCTTTCCAGAATAGGAAACTCCAGCAATACGTCCCAGAAGCACTTTATTAGAGATTTAAGATTGTCCGCACACTGCACTTACCCAAAAATCCTTATATTTCACTTGGCATACTCAGCACTTTTTAATCTGTACCCATTACACTTGGCCTGGCCTAGTTTTGTTGTGCTATGGTGTACTGTTTTTACTGTTTACTGTTATTGCTTTAATGTTTTGATTTGCTTTATGGTTTATGTGTATTTGTTATATTGTTGTTTTATTGAGGCCTTGGCCTTTGTAAGCCGCATTGAGTCCTCCGGGAGATGCTAGCAGGGTACAAATAACGATAATAATAATAATAATAATAATAATAATAATAATAATAATAATGTCCAACTCAGTCCGTACGTATGGTCTTTGTTCTGTAGCCAGTCTCAACCATTACTCTGGGAATGCTTCCTTCCATAGCCAGGATTTCACCAGGACAGGAGGGAGGGGGCAGATCTGATCTCAATTGGGAGAGAGTTCCATAGCCGAGGGGCCACCACAGAAAAGGCCCTGTCTCTCGTTCCTGCCAGACGCGATTGCGAACGTGGCGGGACTGAGAGCAGGGCCCGACCAGAAGATCTTAATTGTCTTGGTGGTTCATAGGGGAAAATACATTCAGAGAGGTAAACCGGGCCGGAACCGTATAGGGTAACCCTATACCCTGTTCGGCCTTTCGACTGACCAGGAGTACCTCTGTCTTGTCTGGATTTAGTTTCAATCTATTGTCCCTCATCCAGTCCGTTACAGCGGCCAAGCACCAGTTCAGGACTTGAACAGCCTCCTTTAGTAGCAGGTGGGAAGGAGTGACAGAGTTGGACATCATCTGCATACAGATGACACCGTACCCCGAAATTCCGGATGATCTCCCCCAATGGCACCGTACCCCAAAACTCCAGATGATCTCCCCCAATTTTTCAGATTGGGGAGCCCAGCCAGACCAGATGAGAATCAATCCAGATTAGAATTTTTTTCTGTGCCATGAGCAACTTGAGAAACTGTAAGTCACTTCTCCATAGGGCGGGAGAACAAGCCCTATGAGGAGCGGCTTAAAGAGCTGGGCATGTTTATAATAATAATAATAATAATAATAATAATAATAATAATAATTTTTATTTAATACCCCGCCACCATAGCCCCAATGGGGACTTGGAGCAGCTTACATGAGGCCAAGCCCAACAGCATATTACAATAAAGTAAAACCAAAACATAATAACACAGTAAAATATATAAGCTTGAAGAAGAGAAGGCTGAGAAGAGAGATGATAGCCATGTGTAAATGTGTGAGGGGAAGTCATAGGGAGGAGGGCGCAAGCTTCCTTTCTGCTTCCCTGGAGACTAGGACGCAATGGAACCATGGCTTCAAACTACAAGAGAGGAGATTCCATCTGAACATGAGGAAGAACTTCCTAACTGTGAGACCCGTTCAGCAGTGGAACTCTCTGCCCTGGAGTGTGGTGGAGGCTCCTTCTTTGGAGGCTTTTAAACAGAGGCTGGATGGCCATCTGTTGGGGGTGATTTGAATGCAATTTTCCTGCTTCTTGGCAGAATGGGGTTGGACTGGATGGCCCATGAGGTCTCTTCCAACTCTAGGATTCCATGATTCTGTGATTCTGGGTTTGATTCTTTCTTTACTTTCGTTACCTTTGGGAGCGCATAACAGGAAGTCCCCTCTCAGTACGAAAATCAACTCAACATGAAAGCAAGCGGGAGCCAATTTCGGCTCCTCGCGTGCTTTTTGTGAGCAGCCTCCTTGCCTTGGAAAGAGTGCATGTGTGTGGCATGCATGCCCAGAAAGCGTACGCACCTTCCTGCAGCTGAGTGCCTCCTCTGGAGCAAGAGAACTCGCCTCCTTGCCTTGGAAAGTGAATGTGGCATGCAGGACCAGAAAACACACGTTCCTGCATGCACCCAAGCACCTCCTCTGAAGAAAACTTGTCTCCTTGCCTTGGAGTGGATGTGGCGTGCAGGCCCAGATTATTTTATTTTTATCGATAACAGATGGAAGTCAGACGGTGCTAATTCTGGACTGTATGGAGGATGTTGTATGGTGCTGAGATCCAGTCTCTGAAGTTCTGCTGTGTACCCATCGTGCAAAGATCTTCTGATAGCCAAGCAAAGCAATTATTTGACCCACATGTTCTTGTGAAAAGCCAATTATACTTGAAATTTCTTTCCGAGTGATACGACAATCGTCTTGAATCAATCTGTCAACTTTTTGCTTGTGAAACTTGGTGGTTGCTGTCACAGGACGTCCAACTCTTTGTTTGTCACGCAAGTCAGATGTTCCCCCTAACACAATCCCTTTCCAAAGCCAGAGATACAGCTTAATGGTGTAACATTAGAAAATGTCGACCTTGGCAGCCATCTCTCCAACACAATCAACATCGACACCGAAATACAACACCGCCTGAGCTCTGCGATGTCACAGGACATCCAATTCTGTTTGTCATGCAAGTCAGATGTTTCTACCTCAACATCTTTAAACTTACTTGCCCAACGACACACAGTACTCACCTCACCCTAAACAGCTTGCATTCTCTGATGAACCTCCTTTGGGGTGACACCTTCTGCTGTCAAGAATTCAATGACTGCACGTTGCTTAAGTCACATTGTCCGACCATCTGTGCAAGGTTCCAGACTTCGCACTTTAACAACACAACCTTCAATGCTAAGGCTTCCCACCAAAATGGAACTGTAGAGGAGAGTCTACTGAACAAGCCAGTACCTGCTACATACATTGCTTAAGTCGCATTGTCCGACCATCTGTGCAAGGTTCCATACTTCGCACTTTAACAACCATTCAATGCTAAGGCTTCCTGCCAAAATGGAACTGTAGAAGAGAGTCTACTGAACAAGCCAGTACCTGCTACATACATTGCTTAAGTCGCATTGACCGACCATCTGTGCAAGGTTCCATACTTCGCACTTTAACAACCTTCAATGCTAAGGCTTCCCACCAAAATGGAACTGGAAGAGGAGAGTCTACTGAGCAAGCCAGTACCTGCTACATACATTGCTTAAGTTGCATTGTCCGACCATCTGTGCAAGGTTCCATACTTTGCACTTTAACAACACAACTTTCAGTGCTAAGGCTTCCCACCAAAATGGAACTGTAGAGGAGAGTCTACTGAACAAGGCAGTACCTGCTACATAAGTTGCTTAAGTCGCATTGACCGACCATCTGTGCAAGGTTCCATACTTCGCACTTTAACAACACAACCTTCAATGCTAAAGCTTCCCACCAAAATGGAACTGTAGAGGAGTGTCTACTGAACAAGCCAGTACCTGCCGCCAGCTACCCCCCCCCCCCTCAAATTTTTCAGGTTAAAAAAACCCTGGTTTACTCATGAATTTTAACTGGTTAACCAAATCCCCACAGTGGTCCATGCTCTTGTTACATCCCGA